GTCTGTTGCAACTGTGCTCAGATAACCTCCTATTTCTAGCAAACACTAAATTTAAGTATAAAGAAAAGCATCTCTTGACATGGCGATCCCCGAAGTCGTCACAACGCTGGACCGAACTAGATCACATGGCCACCAGCCACAGTTCAACTGTCCTTCATCCACACTTCGGTTACCCATGATCTCCAGTCATCCTGAATGGCAAGTCGGCGTAGGTCCTCTGAACCTTTGTGAAGTTGAAAAAGCTATAGAAAATCTGAAGCGAGAGAGAGAGAGCAGCAGGTCCCGATAGATTGACTCCTGAGATTTTTAAGGATGGTTGTCCAGTTTTAGCAGTGATAGGGAGTGAATTAGTCGAACGTGTATACGATGAGACTAAAAGCAGCTACTCAAGGTCTGAGAACGAAGTCGTACTGCTGACTGCAGAGGGGTGTGACAGCAGTAAGGTGTTTCCCTTGGATAACCAGCATCTACAGCGATGCTGCCTTCTCACAAGGAAGGAAGGGTTAGAAAAGGTTGACCCTAAAAATATCACACCTCATCCTACCTCACGGATTTCCGTCCCCGGCGGTACGGGTGTCCACTAAAGGCTTTCAAGAGCGGAGCTAATACTCAAAAAACCTCTCGTAAAAAGGCCGTGCGTGACCGGCCTCAAGCAGTTGTCCCTTGGGCTCTGCGGTCACACACCCAGGTCTCTAAGACCAACGCTAATATACCTTCCTTTTCAGGTCCCTCAAGAAACAACCTTCCACGGTGTGGGCAGCCGGGAAGTGACAACCGCCCTCATACCAGTAACAGCACACGAGACCAAATTGATCAAAATCAAATCTTTCCTACTCCCCATAATACCTCTCTTATCTCCACGACTAACTGTTCTTACATTCCTTTATCACAGTGCACAGCTAATGCAAACGATGCGAGTTCACGAAACGTCATTTCTGGTCTCCTGAAACCTCGTTCTAAACTACATGTTGTAGCATTTAATGTACGTACATTATGTCAAATAGGGCAACTGGCCTCCTTAGCTAGGACATTAGAATCTCGCTCAATCGATGTATGCTGCGTCTCGGAAACACGCATACAGGATCCTAGTAAAGTCATTAATCTGATTTTGCCTTGTCAAAACAAAGAAGCAGCGCGATTTACTCTTTGTGTTCCCGGTAGCACTGATGCTGCTTCCAGGGGTCTCGCTGGTGTATGTATAGCATTAAGTCGTAGGGCAGAACTAGCCTCCATCACAGTAGATAGTCGCTTGTGCGCTGTCCGACTAAACGGGACAGTAAGGACTCGGGAAGATAGGGACACCCGTCGTTGCCTCTTCGTCGTATCTGCCTATGCCCCCACTGACTGCAGTTCAGACGAGGTTAAAGATGTGTTTTACAGAAAGCTTTCGAACCTCCTCCAAAAAACTAGGCGCTCCGATGTAGTAATAATGGCTGGTGACTTCGATCTTCAAGTAGGTAGACTTAGTGAAAAGGAAAGACACCTGGATGGATCTTATGGTGTCGCGGCTCAAAGAACAGATAATGGTGACTGTCTGTTGCAACTGTGCTCAGATAACCTCCTATTTCTAGCAAACACTAAATTTAAGTATAAAGAAAAGCATCTCTTGACATGGCGATCCCCGAAGTCGTCACAACGCTGGACCGAACTAGATCACATGGCCATCAGCCACAGATGGAGGGGTTCGATAGAGGACTGTCGCTCGTTCTGGGGCACGTGTTTAGATTCAGATCATGCTGTGGTGCGAGCGCGTATTCTTTTGAGGCTCACTGGACGTAGGAAAGACACCGTAAGAAAGCCTCTTAGGGTTTTACTTAGTGATAATAAAGCTAAGAATATATTTCAGGAGCTACTAAAAAGAGAGTTAGGCAACCATGTAAACGATTCCCATCCGGAAGCAGCTTGGAATGATATCAAGAAGGCTGTGGAAACAGCAGTGATATCTGCTAGTAAGGTAAACCATTAGGTTAGGAAGAAGCCCTGGATCTCAGTAGCATCCACCGAACTGATAGGTGCTCGAAAATGCATCCCACCTGACTCTGAACATGATGAAGAACGAAGTCAGCTTAAGCGCAGGCTGATAGTAAGCCTACGCGACGACCGTGAGCATTGTTGGGTGGAGAAAGCAAAAGCGATGGAAAAGGCAGCGGCGATAGTCAACACTAGACTACTTTTCCACCTTATTAAATAAACCTTTATTAGGAACTCGAATGTAAGCGAGACTATGTCGCAAAAGGATGGTCTTATTATCCACTCTGAAGACTGGACCGATGGGCAGAACACTTTAGGGATCAGGAGTTGACCTTCTACCTGGAAAGTCGCTTACTGATCTAGAATATGCCGATGACATAGTTCTATTCGGTGAAGAAGCTGACAAAATGAGGAGTCTTCTGACTACCCTAAGCAACAATGCGAGCATGTTCGGGATGCGGTTTTCCCCCTCGAAATGCAAAATGTTGCTTCAAGACTGGGTTGCATCGGCACCTGAACTAGTGATAGGGAGTGAAGTAGTCGAGCGTGTTGACCGCTTCACTTATCTCAGGAATCCCATCAATGCTGATGGCCTGGTGACTGACGAAATCTCAGCTCGGATAGAGAAAGCTCGATTCGCTTTTGCAAAACTGCGTCACTTATGGCGTAGGCATGATATCTGTTCGCTAACCAAAGGACGGGTGTACTGCGCAGCAGTTCGCTCCGTTTTCATATATGGCTGTGAAACATGGCCGTTAAGAGTCTATGTTCGTAGGTTACTAGTATTCGATCATAGATGTTTAAGAAGCGTTGCTCGTATATCGTGGGACAGCCGAGTAAGCAATGTTGCAGTTAGGAAACGAGTATTAGGTAAGGATGACAGATTATTAGATGAATTGGTGAAACTTCATCAGTTGAAGTGGTTGGGACATGTGTTACGTATGCCTAACCACCGACATTATGCGATTCAGAGTCTTTAGGAGACCAGGAAATGTCAAAACAGGATATCCTACCCTTGCGTAATATCTGTGGGTCAAGGACTTCTGTTAATAAGTCGGTATCATTGACTTCATCGTGTCTGCCGTTTTGAGTAAGTGGTAATGAATTGACGATTCATCCTACGTATAAAATGGAGAGTAAATCCCGAATAGGATATGACCAGACTAATGACGTTCCATAGATGTTTATGTGGTTTAACTGGATGAAGTTTATACGACCTTTAGGTCAAGCTACGATGGATAGAGGAATCAAGAACCTGATGGAAAGGTACAGGTACATAGTGAACTTGATATGTCATATCCATGTTGGAGGTTTGGTGGGGGTACTGTTGTAAATCCTACACATTCTTCTGGCGTGGATTAGGCTATGAGAGTGAACCATGATTTGGGGCATTTAATCGGCTTTGCCCTGTATGGAGGGATTTTGCGGGCCAGTGTAGAAGGCTTTGTTTTGGGAAAATCCCTCCATGTATATATTTGTAATGTGTTTTTAAGGACTCTTTCTGTGCTACATTTTGGTACTCTGTTCAATACCGTTTTGTGATGTTAATATTTGTATTTTGTTATAATTTCTATTTTTTTTACCTTTATTGGAGTTCACACTTGTCTGGGTTAACTGCTATCCATTATCGGAAAGGCGTTGGAATAAAAGCGTAAGATGTTGATAATGTTCATCTACCTTTGATGATGTGATTAGCAGCTCATCAATATAGACGTGAACAAAAGCAAAGTCTCTTGCTATGCTATCGATAAACCTTTGGAAAGTTTGAGCAGCATTCCTTAATCCAAATGGCATTCTTAGGAACTCAAAAAGACCGAAAGGAGTCGTGATAGCAGTTTTCTCAATATCTTCAAGAGCGACTGGGATCTGGTGATCTGCTCGTACCAGATTAATCTTAGAATAGATATTCGTGCCCTTAGGAGATGCCGTGATGTCGTGTATTTGGGGGATGGGACAGCTAATAAAACGTGTTACTACGTTTAATGCTCGGTAGTTGCCACATGGTCGCCAACTTATCCCACCCTCTTTGCGAACCATGTGGAGTGGTAAGGCCCAGGGATTGTGGGAAGGACGAATAATAATAATAATAATAATAATCACGTTTAGCAAAAGCTAATTTGTCCGGTGCCAGTCGGCGAGGTCGTGCCGTGACTGGTGGCCCGCGGGTGACGATGTGGTGTACCACATGATAAGTCACCGATGTATTCTCCTCGAGTGGTTTAGTCAGCTGGGAAAATTTTTCGGGTAAAGCGTGGAAAATATCATCACGCGAATGAAATACCCCTGTAATTCGGTACGCACCTGTTTGAGCTAGAAAGCCCATACATTTGCTGTTCGACGAAACTCTAAGAATCAAATAAAAAGGCGATTCTAGAGGAAGAAGTATATTTGATACTAGCCTCGTGATATCGAAATAATATCGAGGCAAGGGGGCGTACAAATGGCTAGCGTCCACGCAGGAGATGTGCGAGGCAGGAGAATGGGAATAACACGCTTGACGCGCGAGAGATAGTCTTTAGTACAGACAAACAAGAGGTGTACAATATAACAATTATTGTCAGAATTAAGTACAATAATAAATGTTTATGTTTCAGCAGTTGTGCTTTCTTCGTAAAAGTTCACCACTACAAACATAGAGAAATGAACTTTAGACATGCTTCTACTCCTTTGAAGTAGTCTAACCCTGGAATTCACCACAGGTTGAGTTCTCCAAATTCACTATAATTTGCTAGTAACTCTCTTCCACTCAATAAGTAAAGTCAGTATTCTTCTTAGAGGAATTTATGATCTAGTTTTACTAGACACGATAGCTCTTCAAGTGAAAGCTTTTTATTTATCACAACAACAACCATTTTAATCATTTGGTTTGTTTATAACTATCAATTGGAAGGCTTTCACTACTGGCGTTCTTTGAACGGGAGGTAGGGAGGTCATTTTAATCCTCTGCTGGGTCGATCGGGGATGTTACTTGTCATTTACGTTTTGTTTCTACGTGGGAATAGATTGGTTTATTCCGATTAATGCCGCAGAGATTGTCGACCTGCATCGTGTTGCGAAGTTGAAAAAAACGTCTTCAAATGTTGTCCTTATACCAATGTATGTTTTTAATGATGTATAATATTTTCCCTCAACCTTCTAGGGTGTGTGTTGTCGTGATGGTAAAATCTGCTGTCCTCAAGGAACGAAGTGCAACTTGGAACTTGGTCAATGTCAGTCTCCTAATGGAGTTGTGTTTCCACCTAAACAGCTTTCACAGGTGAGTGTCCTCTTTTACATTTTGTTCCCATGTGACATTTATCTGTTCATTGGTAAGCCCTGGTGTACGAAGAAATTTTTTTACTGCGTTCACCCGCTACTGGAATCAGAAAGTCTGATTCAATCCAAGATGTGTCTTGAATTCCGCTACTGGTGCATAAAGGTCGAGCGAACTATACACAGTGAATCTACAGAAGAAAAAAGTTTAGATTGTGTAATTCCCTTCTACAGTGTACTTGTTTTGCCTGGAGATTATTAGTTATGTTATACTTCATTAGGCCTCGCCATGTTAGTGCTTACAGTTTATCCTCTATCCGATGGTTTTGTTAAAACTTTGGAAAAAACATGGCAATTTTTACTATGGCGAAGTTTGGTACGTAAGAACAAAACAGTTAATTCCCATCCAAAATAGTATAAAAAATTTTAAACGATAGTTAGGACTTGTCGTAGTTAATCTCATTTAACTAATCTGATTTAGGTTGGCAACCTTCGTCATAACACATATTTGCGGGGTTGTGCTCTGGCAATGACTGACTGATTAATTTTTTGGTGCTATAATGTTATATCAAAACCATCAGGTTTCAGTTTTTAAACAGACTGCTTGAAATCCGTATCTTGTATGGTAAGTTTGTTTCACATGTGGTGGAAATTATCTCATCGACAAATGTGCGTAAATGTAAAGTAATTATTCGATGGATTGAGATTGAGGTGTGTGGATAGAGTAGAAACTGACGCTATGCAAGTATTCGGTAATCATAATTTGATGACGAAAAGTTTTCATTTCTTCATTCACTCTCGGAAGTTCTACGTTGCAACTGACTGACTGACTGAGGAAATTTCCTTTGGGCATAAGGAAAAACATATTTTGACACGGTGACCCCCAAATTCGTCTCAACGCTGGACTCAAATAGATCACATCGCCATCAGCCACCGACGAGGAGAGGCTTCAGTAGAGGACTGTCGCTCGTTCTGGGGTACTTGTTTAAATTCAGGTCATGGTCTAGTACGAGCGCGTGTTTGTTTAGGACTTACTGGACGTAGGATAGACATCTCGAGGAAATATCTTAGGGTTCTAGTTAATGATAACAAGGCTAAGAACATATTCCAGAAACAACTAGAAAGAGAATAGACAACCATGTAAGCAATTTCTACCCGGAAGCAGCTTGGAATGATATCAAAGATGCGGTGGAAACAGCAGTGATATATGCTAGTAAGGTAAACCATAAGGTTAGGAAGAAGCCGTGGATCTCAGTAGCATCTGCCGATTTGATGGATACTCGAAACTTCATCTCATTTGGCTCTGAACATGATGAAGAGCAAAGTCGGCTTGGGCAAGAGCTGATAAAAAGCCTGCGCAATGATCGCGAACAGTGGTGGGTAGCGAAACCAAGCCCGACCGAAACTTACCTTGACGTGGTGGTCGGGCTTGCCTTTCAGTTCACAGCTAATGCAAACGATGCGAGTTCACGAAACGTCATTTCTGATCTCCTGAAACCCCGTTCTAAATTACATATTGGAGCATTTAATGTACAGACATTGTGTCAAATAGGAAAACAGGCTTCCTTAGTTAGGACTTTAGAATCTCACGCCATAAATGTATACTGAATCTCAGAAATGCACTTGGAGGATCCGAGTAACATCATTCACTTGACCTTGCCTTTCGTGCTGACCTAACCCAGCTATATTGGCTGGAACATATATTCTTAAAGGTTCCACCGTGTCAGGCAGGTCGATTGGAGAACGATGAAACTAAAAGCAGCTACTCAAGGTCTGTGGGCGAAGACGTACTGTTGACTGCAGAGGGGTATGACAGCAATAAGGTGTTTCCCTCGGACAACCAGCATCTACGGCGGTGCTGCCTTCTCACAAGGAAGGAGGGGTTAGAAAAGGTTGACCCTAAAAATATCACACCTCATCCTACCTCACGGATTTCCGTCCCCGGCGGTACGGGTGTCCACTAAAGGCTTTCAAGAGCGGAGCTAATACTCAAAAAACCTCTCGTAAAAAGGCCGTGCGTGACCGGCCTCAAGCAGTTGTCCCTTGGGCTCTGCGGTCACACACCCAGGTCTCTAAGACCAACGCTAATATACCTTCCTTTTCAGGTCCCTCAAGAAACAACCTTCCACGGTGTGGGCAGCCGGGAAGTGACAACCGCCCTCATACCAGTAACAGCACACGAGACCAAATTGATCAAAATCAAATCTTTCCTACTCCCCATAATACCTCTCTTATCTCCACGACTAACTGTTCTTACATTCCTTTATCACAGTGCACAGCTAATGCAAACGATGCGAGTTCACGAAACGTCATTTCTGGTCTCCTGAACACTAGATAAATATGCCACGGCGCTGTCTCACATAGCCTCATAGGCAACTGCATGCTATCTTCGGAGGCTGCTAAGTACGGCGGGCCTATAGAGTGACGGCCCGCCAGTCTAGTTAACATCCGATTTATTAGGAGAACGCTCAGGTAGAAAAATAAATGGAAGGGAGAAGTGGAATGGAGTAAATTATGGGGAAAAAGAGGCAAACGGCATCCGTAATCGAGTCCACTAGTCACCTCAAAACATACCCTCCCATCTCAATGTAAAATAAGACGCCCATAGCGACAGACCCGACAGACGAGAATCCTCTAACTCTATGATCTAAGCGATCACTCCCCTTACATACTCATATATGACGCCTCTCACGGACTCTCCTCAACGACCCCAATCTTAATACCATGCTTTATTAGACACAATCAAGAGCTATAGGATGACGCTCAACACAAACACTCACTCATTAAACTCATCCAAACAATCCACCCTCATCCTCACATACATCTTAAGATCATATAGACACGAAGCACATAGAATGGGAGCACACAATCTGTACGCGATCAACGAACCCAGAACACAAATAGCTACCGACACACAACCATCATGTTACCGTCGAAAATACCGACACTGCAATACAGATTTAGCAGAAATGGAGTCGAGTCAGAGACGCATGCAGATCTTACAGCAAACAGTAAATCTGACAGAGCGAGTTCGCATGAGTTCAACAAGAGCGAGATACCCACCTAGTATAAAGAGAAGTACTGCGGTGGCGAGCTGGCTATAATACATACAGTCTCTCTATAACCACAGAACAAACACATTCTTCGTGCAGAAGACAGGGCGCGCGATTATCTATATTGAAAGAGTTGTTAGAAGGAAGAAGAGAACGAAGGCATACGCGATTAGACACACGAATACGTCAGGCCAACGCGGGCTGTCACAACTCGCAGAAATGAGGGCAAGAGACTTCTTAAGCACTATCTCGACTGGTTCCCCGCAAGAAACTTGGCGCGCCTAGGCAGAGTCGTTAAGCCCGTACGATCGGTTCTCACCGATCTTCTTTTCCCCACTCGGAAAGAGGCGATTCTCAGCAAGTGTGAGAAATACACAGGTATCACTCTTCTTGTCAAGTACGACAGGCAAAGTTCTAACAGAGTATTGTGTAAACACAGACAATGGAAGGACACTTCGTAGACGCCTACAACTTCGAGATTCAACAGGCTGGGATTTCGTTAAAGGATCGATCGTGTAATGACCTAATGCTACTTTAATGTATCATGTGGAGAAACAGACTCAATTGAATGGAATTAAGTCAGCGAGCGGCCAGCCCAAGAAACTAGCCTCCACTCACAGTAGTGATAGCGCTGGTGCGCCCTGTTCCCGTAACTCTCCATAAACGGGGGAGACAGTAAAGGGACTCGGGGAAGACTAGGGGACACACGTCGTTTGCCTCTTGTCGTATCTGCCTATAGCAACCACGGAAGGGCAGGTGAGACCGAGCTGTTAAAGAGGGCGGTGCGGGGACAGAAAGGATTGCAGAACAACAACAAGCCGCCAAAAAAAACTAGGGCGAGAGTGCGATGTAGTTAATAAGGGCTGGGTGCGTGGACATGTCATGATCTTCAAGTGGAGGTTGAGAAGTTGTACTGTGAAAAAGGATAAAGAAAATTCCTGGAGGGAGATTTATTGGGTATGTCGTATTTCCCCTTTGTCGCGTGCTCTCAAAGAAACAAGAGTAATGGTGGAAATGGGTCTGTTGCAAAAACTGTTTGCTCAGACAACCCATCACCTATCTTTTCTAGAAAAAACACCTAAATTCTTAAGCCCCTCCCCCATTAAAGAAAAGCATATCTTGGACATGGCGGCGATTATCCCCGGTAAGTAGTACACAACGCTGCGGGACCGAACAAAAACTTACGATCAACATGGACAAAACCAGACCACAGTTCAAACTGTCATTCCTTCCATCCACCACTTCGGTTACCCATAGAGGGGGGAGAGAAAGAAGAAGGAGGAGAGGGAAAGGAAGGGAAGGGGAGGAAAGAGGAGGGAGGGGGAGAGGAGGGAGGGGAAGAGGAGGGAGGGAATAAGGGGAAAAAAAGAGAGGAGAGAAGGGAGAAGGAGGGGAAAGAGCGGGAGATCAGGGGGGAGGGGGAAAAGAGAGGAGAGGAGGGGGAGAGGAGAGAGGAGGACAGAGGAAGAAGGGAAAGGGGGAAGAGGAGGGGAGAGAGGGTAGGAAAGGAAGGGAAGGAAGGGAGGGAAAGGGAAGGAAAGAGGAGGGAGGGGGAGAGGAGGGAGGGAGAGGGAAGGAGGAGTAGAAGGAGAAGGAGAGGGAAGAGAGAGGGAGGAAGGGGAGGGGAGAGGAGGGAGGGGAGGGGAAGAGAGAAGGGAGGAGGGGAAGGGAGAGGGAAGAGGAGAAGGGGGAAGAGGAGAGGAAGAAGAGGAAGAGGAAGAAGAGGAAGAGGGAGGGAGGAAGGGGAGGGAGGAGAAGGGAGGAGGGAAGGGGGAGGAAGAAGGGAGGGAAGAGAAAGGGAAGGAGGAGGGAGACGAAGAGGAAGAAGAGAGGGAGGAGAGGAGGGGAGAGGAAAGGGGGGGGAGAGGAGAGGAGGGGAGAGAGAGAAAAAGAAAGGAAAAAAAAGGGGAAAAGAGGAGAAGGGGAAGAAGAGAAGAGGGGAGAGACAAGGAAAATGGTGGGGAGAGGGAGGAGAGAGGGGGGGGAAGAGGGGAAGAAATAAAAACTAAAAGTATGATTGTATAGTATTGTTGGAGCGCAATACGACACTGGACCCCATTTTCGTTGACACTCATTACCCCTGTGTTGGAGAGATAAGAAGCGACCCACTCCTGTCTAGCAGGAATGGAATAGTACCCCCTTGTCCCCAATTCATGCTCCCCATATGGATTGTTCTGTCAATCTGGTCCCCTACCCCCGTCACCTTCTTCACACTCTGTCTCCCTATTGATTTCTCAAATTCGGTCTACAGACCTACTACCTTCTATTTTTCTAAAAGCTATTTATCACTAGAATAACCATCCCGAAATAGCTATCACTTAATTAAAGATCAATTCTTGCTCCCAACCTTGACATTATCTCCGATTAAACGTAGCTAAATACAGATTACTTACAGATCTATTCATACCACCAATGGGGATTTGGACTGACAGTTCGTCTGTGTTGTAATGTGGTATGGCGACATGAGCGTATGTAAACACGTACGATGTTCTACGTCTTAACTGACTGACTGTGTAGACCACTGAATAAATATCAGTACAAGAGGTGAACCCATGGCTATACCGTCTATTTGTCTGTAATAATTGTTGTCGAATACGAAATGGACATTCATCGTACATCTTAGGAGTAATTCTTTCAGGCAATCTTCGGGCAAGCCAATATTCATTTGTTTCTCCTGAATTTGTTCGCATATGAATTCAATGGTCTCAAGGAGTGGTACGTTGGTAAACAAAGAAACTACATCCAGTGAGATCATATTTTTCCTGCTAACATTCATATTTTCTATCTTGGAAGTGAACTCAAAAACGTCTTTTACACTCCTACGTACGACTGATTTATGCAATGGCTCTAAAATTCGAACTAGCCACTTCGCAATTTTATGGTACGGGGAATTAAACATATCAAGAACCGGGGCGTAGAGGAAGACCCGATTTATGAACTTTTGGTAAACCATATAGTCGTGGTGTGTAGGATCCAGTAGGCTTAATTAAGTCGTCGATTTTAGGCGTAATAATACCTTTTTTCTTTAATTCCTTGATAGAGTTTATCAATTGATTTTCTACTTTTTTATTGATATCATTATTACAGGTGACTTTTTGGAACTTGCTAGGATCATCGAGCATTCCTTCCATTTTATTTATGTAATCAGTTTTTATTCATAAGAACGATACCTCCCCCCTTGTCTGGTTTGCTTATGATCAAGGTTTCATCTTTCTTCAGTTTTGTTAAAGCCTCACGATGCAGTTTTGTGAAAAGGCGATTCGTAGGACACTTAATATTCTTATACTGTAGGCAGCTATCGACCAACGTTGTGTTAAATCTAGCTACATCTTCTAACAAAGCTAGAAAATGGACCACTAAATAAAACTATTCAGAAACTTGATCTATATTGCCGTTACGTCGATGACACAAATATCTCCTTGTTATTTGTTGATCTTTAATAGTTTATTGTGTCAATAAGTTTAAGTTCTGAAGTCATTTTTATCCTCTATGATACATAATCACTGATAGTTATAAGAAAAATATTAAAAGATATGACCATGTTCAATAATTTGTTCCAAGTAAGCTGATTTTCTCTAGTAAAATTAAATAATTACTTTTTTGCTCAACCGATTAATTGAGACAATTCTACATACACTTGTTAACTATCAAATTTTCCCGAATTAACTAGAACAAGGAAAGATTGAAAGCAAATTGTATTCAAGCAAATATAGAAACGTATACTGAATATCCTTGAATCATCATGTCTTATACTTTTTACATGATGTATTGCTCTGCAAATCATTGTAAATAAGGTATAAAAAGTGATTTTTCACCTATATCTCGCTTATATTTTAAGATAACTTATACATTGTCAATTATTAAGTATAATAGTTTATATATTTTAGAGTACTTAGCTAGACTTGTTTAATGTAGTTTTTCATTCATTTTTTTTCAGAAAGTCAATAATAATTTAAATACCAGTGTTTCTGATACAGTACTGAAGCGACTATCAGTAAATTATGTTTTATGTCCCAATCGTCAGTCAGTATGCCATGATAACAACACATGTTGTCCAATGTCAGGTGAATTGTGGGGTTGTTGCTTGGGGGCTAATGTAAGTTGCTTTATTGAAAGAATATTTCTTATTAGTACTTTTTATGATTATATTATTATTGCCTTATTAGTTCCTATTCACCTTGTAGGAACTTGACTGATAAGCTCATAAGTCTCAAAAATCTTTTCCTCACCTTATATGACTCTCAATGTGTGCATATATATATTCACAATCTCTTCAAGAGGTCAATCCATGATTTTTTTTTAAAAGAAAAAATAAAAATTAGGCGTACAAAAAGAAAAAAAAACCCAACACAATAGTCGCGCGACTGGTTTTCATCGATCATTCACCATCATCATCATCATCTACACGCCTGAACACAATGCTAATTCCTAAATATGCGTGATAGAAAATTAAGAAAAATAAAAGGCGTATTCAATCAAGTTCATGCTATCCATTAATTAATAATTGAACAAAAAATATTTCCGACAAATTCATTAAACTTACTACATTTTTTAATGAATTTTCAAAATATGATTAAAAAAAAAATATTCCATTGCAAAAAAAAACAATGTTCATAGATGTTGAATTTGTTAATGTTCACATTCCACATTTTCATTTTGATTATTATCATTATTATTATTATTAGTATTATTAGTTTAAGATTAAAATAGTAAGTTGATATAATTAGATAATTCACTTTATCTAATCACACAATATACTCATCTACAGAAACCGAATAAAATATGTATACATATATACATTGGCTTGCTTTTTAATTGATAAAAAGTTTTTATTCCGAGTTAATATATCAGTTAAGAAAATCGTTTAATTTTTTGCTTTAAGTAATAATGATTACTATTATTATTATTATTATTATTATTATTATTATTATTATTATTATTATTATTACAAGTTAAGCTTACTCTGTAATCAGTCAGTCAGTTATAACGTAGAACTTCGTACGAAGTCACTGACAAGTGGACTGAGTTATGTTGGTAGATGTAGGCTACCTGGTTGGGGTCCGCGAGACGAAAGTCACCAATGGTTAGAGACCTTGAACGACATGGCTGAGAGTCGCGCAGGTGCATCCATTCTTTGTGTTCTCTCGAATCCTAACCTTCTGAATTCCTTAGAATCTCTATCTTTCTCTTTCTAAATTTATCTCACTGAATTATACCGCTCGAATCATATCTTCGCTCCCTAATCTTCTCCATTACTGCTAATAGTTCTACTATCGCTGCCACTATTGGATTTGAATTGACAGTTGCGTCTCTGTGCTGATGTAGTATGGCAACCTGAACTGATGTACTTATGTACGAAGTTCTGCGTTGTATCTGTCTGTCTGTCATAACTTCGTACGTATAGTACATCAGTTCAAGTTGCCCATACCACATTAGCACAGAGACGCAGCTGCCCGTTCAAATCCCATAGTGGTAGAGATAGAAGTATTGGCGGGAATCTAGATTAAGGTTCGAAGGTATTATTCAACTAGTATAAATCAGTGAGATAACTCTAGAAAGAGAAAGAGAGGTGATGAGGAATTCAGATGATTAGAATTTGGGAGAGTACAAAGGATGGATCAACCTGTGCCATTGTAAACAATTATGAGCCATATCATTCAAATTCTGTTACTATCGTTTACTATCATCTCGCGGACCTCAGCCAGGTAGCTTACATTTGCCAACACGACTCAGTCCAGTTGTGAGTGACTTCATGGTTTTGTGCCATGTTTTGGTTTGGCCGCCCCTAGATTTCTTCCAACCTATTCCTACACCACGAAACATAGCTTGTCGAGGCAGTCAGTGGTTAGGCATTCGTAACACATGTCCCAACCCCCTCATATACTGTGTTAGTAATTAATTTTAAATTCTTATGTTATTATTTTAATCAAGGTCTACTGGATTAAGTTTCGTTGCTCTGCTAGTGATCTCAGCTTTTTTGTTTTACCAAATAATCAATAAATGGTTATTGATAGACTGGATTATTATATCCAGTGACTGTGGTTCGATTTGACCCTGTCAAGTCGGTCACTCAGTCCTTTATATACAATGTAGAACTTGACAATTATGCATGGATTCGATTTGTTACATAATACTAACACAGCGAAATAAACTTATCAAGAAAAATCTTAGAATCCAATTGTAAATAACTTCATGGAATAGTATCACATCTTAGTTAGACTATTCATAACTTTGTTTCAGTTTACTCGTACACCAGACAAGACCAAGGGCGGCAATAAATGGACATTCATAACATATGTCCCAATCATTTCAGTTAATGAAAGTTGATTTCTTCATCAACCGGATAGATTTATCTTTATGAGTAGAAGCTTAAATATTCTTAATATGAAACTTGCCGGCATATCTGACTATTGTAATGCTGCTACGTAGCTATTCCAATCTTACCGACGTCCGAATCCAAATATTCCAATTTGACCCAAATACTATTCTCAAATCTCCTATATATCAGAACGCAACACCGTTGGATGGAGTTGTTATTGGGTCGAGTAAAGAAGAGCGGTAGGCAGGAGGGAATGGAATCCTGAAGTCTTATAGATAGTGCGTATTTATACATTTAGGTCGAATAGGAAAGAGCATCGAAGTCTGTGGCATTGACGATTCAGGATGACCAGTAGGAAAGAACATTTGAAATGACACTGACAGTTCGGATGACCAATCAGAAACAACTTTGAAGTATTTGACTTTGACAGTTAAAACGACCATAGGATTATACTTCCAAAAATAGTACTCTTAGGATGGTGAATATCCTAACACTGATGCACTTTCTTCTTTTGATCTTCTGACTCACTTTCTTAACATGAAAATACTAGACGTTGTTTATGTTTATTTATCTCAAGTTTATAATTCAAGCGATCGAATTCCAATTTAAACCAGTAAATAAAATAGAATCAGCTGAATATAAATTCTTTCTTTTATATCTCAAAACCAATCATTCAAACTCCGTTTGTTCTACGCTTTCCTAGGCTGTTTGTTGTCCAGATGGCAAACATTGTTGCCCTCATGGTTCAGTATGCGATACGGTGCATCAGGGATGTAAATCAGTTGAGTTCGTTGAAATGCCAGAGACGAAAGAATCTTTACAGTCCTTACAACTTGTATCGGCTTCAGCTCCTGCACGCCTCAATCCAAATGCTAAATTATCTGAAAAAGACTGGAGAAAGAAGATTCCCCAACTGTCAGCCAAGCACTTAATGGCTTATACTGGTGTTGTATGTCCTGACCCATTATATGAATGCCCAGCCGATACAACTTGTTGTTATACTTCAGAAGAAGGATGGGCATGTTGCCCTATGCCTCAAGTAAATTTTTTTTTCTAAATATTGTTCATAAATTCACAATTCTGCATTACATTCATACTAATATGTCCATAAATCATTTTAAAGCTCCCTATATCCTGTATATTCATCATAGTATGCATATTTTAATCTGGTTGTCTCACTACTGCTTTAAAATTTTTTGTAATTCACTGTAAAAACATCCCTCCTCTGATTAAGATCATTGACCATCGAATTCTCAATTAAATATCAAGAGTTTTTGGCATTTGTTTATAGTTATCATTTCTTACATGGAGTTACAACTTCTTCCAGTTTACAGCTTTTCTAACATTTCTTGGTATTGATAAGGTCGGATTAAAAATTAAAAATTCATTCAAATGTCAACTAAATTAGCCTAGTGACATAATCTTAAACATTTCTAATCAGAAATTTTGGATTAGATAGCATGATGTTGGTTACGCTGTGACCTTTTAAGAGTTTTGTGGTCTTATATATCAACCGACAATCACAATGCAATATTTGGCATAACATTACACTAGTTCACGTGACTTCGTCTCCTCAGCAAGAAATTCTCAAGAATAAGAGCAAATAAAACGGAAATAACCGTACAGTGGTCGAGAGGTCGTGCACTAGACCGACGGTCCTAGGTTCGATTTTTACTTGTGAGGTTGTGTATGTGCACTGCTAATGAGTCACATACTAGAACTAAATAGCCGTCTAATGCTTCCAGGTTTCCAACAGTGATCTAACATTGATCAATTCATGATTTCAACGAAAGTGATAAAACCCTCACTCTTAAGATTGTTGTCAGAATTCCCAAACCGCAAAATAACAAACATGTTGTGTATGATTTCACCAAACATCTTTTCGAACTATATATTAATAGTTTTAAGTGGTTGATACTGTTATATGAAATAAAGTTAGGTAGTATAATACAATCCATCTGTTCGTTGGTTTTAATCGTAATGAGTCGATGCTTTAAATTTCTAAAAATTTAGCATCTTACTTAATCTTATTGACAATATCAGAAATAATTTAAAGTGTTGTAGTAAACTATCACGTTTCTCACTTCATCAGTCAGTCAAACCCGACCATAGCTGTTACTTTGACGTGGTGGTCGGGCTTGCCTATCGTGATGACCCAAACCGAGCTATATATTGACTGGAACATATGTTGCTTTATGTTTTACCATGCTGGACAGGTCGATTGAAGGACGGTGAGAATAAAAGCAGCTACCAAGTGTATAAGAGCGAAGTCGTGCTGCTGACTGTAGAGGGGTGTGACAGCAGTAAAGTGTTTCCCATCGGACAACCAGCATCTACAGCGATGCTGCCTTCTCACTAGTAAGGAAGGGTTAGAAAAGGTAGACCCTGAAAATATCACACCTCATCCTACCTCACGGATTTCCGTCTCCGGCGGTACGGGTGTCCACTAAAGGCTTTCAAGAGCGGAGCTAATACTCAAAAAACCTCTCGTAAAAAGGCCGTGCGTGACCGGCCTCAAGCAGTTGTCCCTTGGGTTCTGCGGTCACTCACCCAGGTCTCTAAGACCGATACTAATCTATTTTCCTTTTCAGGTTCTTCAAGAAACACCCTTCCATGGTGTGGACAGCCGGGAAGTGACAACCGCCCTCATACTCGTAACAGCACACGCGATCGACTTGGTCATAATCAAATCCTTCCTACACCCCTTCATATCTCTCTTATCTTCACGACTCACCCTTTTCTCAGTAAGAGTGTAATCTAATGAATAAAGTTAGCAGACAGTCATCAATTTGTAGATTAGTTTTGATATAATTCCTAATGAAAGTTTAGCGTGGAATATTAAAGAACTACTTATTAAACTACTTTTTATTTTTGTATTTCGTTTTTCCATAATCCCTTCATCTGTCTGGTATACATTTGTTTAGTTGAAATATCGTAATATGCTTTTCTTCATATACGTAGACTGTCTTTGTTCCTCATGGCTACCACCACCAACACAAAGCTTTGCTTAAATTCGTTGAAAAGTCGTCATATAATAGTAAAAATAATTCATATTCTGTTGCATATTTCAATATGATTTCTGCACTCTCATCAACAATGAACGGTATACAATTGTGTCCAGATGCAAAGTCTCGTTGTAGCGATGAGCAAACTTGTTGCAAATTAAAAACAGGAGACTGGGGTTGCTGCCCTGCGATAAATGTAAGTAACTTACTAGTATGAATGAGGTCCTACTAAGTAGTATTCCATAGAGTCTTGGATTCTTGTGTTATTTCATGTCTCATAATGATGGATGGGACATCATGACTTACGTTAGATCTATTGTTGGTATCGTACAAATATCTACCAGGTACATTTCGATAAAGATTTGCTGTTTTCAAGAGATAATAACCATGATATTTAAGGCTTGAATCTTTAATACTGTAAAACTGCAACCGGAAATGTTTTTGTTAGATCGTTTTTCGTTTACCAATATCTCATTGAACTTCATTGAATACACAAATGGGCCACTAGAACCAAGCTGTAAAGTCTACCCAGACACAGTACCACTTGGCGTTGGTAAGATTTATAAGAAGGTTGTACATTGTAACTTATATGTAAGCAGAATTAACAGACAATGTTTAGCTTAGCGGTGTTGATGAATAAATTTTAACAATGCTGAATTATGTAAATAAGATTAAACATAAACTAATGTTTTGTATTATATCTAGTGTTGTCCTATAACATCCATTGGAGTACTGACTAGAAATCCTAAAGCGCTAACTCAATCAATCAGCTACAATGTAGAACTTTGTACGTACGTAAATCGTCCAAGTTATCATGTCGCATCAGCATAGAGAGACGCAATTGTCAGTTTAAATCCCATAGTGGTAGAGATAGTAGAAGTATTACTGGTAATGGAGAAGACTAAGGTTCGAGGATATTATTCAAGAAGTACAATTCAGTAAAATAGATTTGAAAAGAGAGATGAAGGTCATGAGGAATTCAAAAGACTAGGATTTCAGAGAACACAAATAGTAGATGCACCCGCACCATTGCAAACGATTTTGAGCCATGTCGTTCAAGGTCTCTAACCATCGATTACTATCATCTTGCAGACCCTAACCAGGTAGTCTAAACCTACTACTAACATGTCTCACTCCACTTGTCAGTGACTTCATGGATTTGTGCCATGTTTTTATTTGGCCACCCCTAGATTTCTTCCAACCTATTCCTACACCACAAAACTAGCTCGTCGAGGCAGTCGGTGGTTAGGCATACGTAAAACCTGTCCCATCCACCTCAGCTGATGAAGTTTTACTACTTCATTTACTGATCTACCATCCTAACTTATTACCCATTTCCCAACAACAGCATTGCTTACTTGGTTGTCGCAGGATATACTAGCATGGCTTCGATGACACTTATGATTGAAAGTTAAAGTCAGTGTCACGGCTTTCGAAAGGCCACACTTAGGTTTCTTCCAGTTTTTCCTCCTACACCATCCATCATGTATAAATTGAAGTAGGCACTAGTCCCAATCAACCCATTTTTTTTCTAATATACTATAACTAACCTTAACATTGTTCATTCGTTGATCCCGATATACACGACCAGTGATTAAATTCATCTCTGATTCAATACTAATAACCTACAAACATCCTCTTTCTAAGGTCCACGTTTACTCATTTTTTAGCAGTTAGCAGGTGAACTCCTTACTATTTGTTTCATTTCTAACTTCACATTTTCGTACTAAAACGTTCTGAAGATTATTCCTAGACTAATCGTTTATCTATATATCACTTAATAAGAACCGTATAATGAATATCAATACTAACTTCCTGTAATCTGATAAAGACATCATCATGATGTAACTGTATGCTTGTAAATACCTATCTTCTTTTTTCGGTTCAAGGTGTATAGTTGAAGAGATGTTACTTGTAATCTCTTCAAATCACTCACTATATCCCTCACATTAGATGTCCGTATCATATCTCTTGTTAGCATTTTGCTTGAGTTTCTTTTTATATATCAAAACTTAGAGTCTAACATTGAAATATGTCATGATTGGTGTATATGTATGCATTGTGGTAGTGTTTCGACTGAGTGTTTTAGTTGTGTAGCTTTCTTTCATTGTTCGTCTGAACAAAAACATCATCATCAGCACAAACTTCATATAGAATCAAGAACCAGATCATCAAAGGGGAATACAATCATAACAAAGGTGCAAACAACGACAGGTTTAAGGTCAACAGCAACCAATCAAGATCGAGGTTAACAGAACAAGCTACTGGTCAAACGTGGAGAAATTCGAATACCTCACTTCTATCTGAAGTCTGTGCTGCTGATGTTGTTGTTGTTGTTCAGAAGAGCAATGAAAGTTCCACACCCAGCTCAAAGAATGAAACGCTACCACAATCATTCATCTGAGCTACAAATTTTCTCCACTATTGTATGCATTCAACTTTTTACCCTTAGTTAGAGTAGACCTCTTCGTTTTTCCCGTGACATAAAAGAAAGCTAACCATTCTAGAAATATGTCAGATATTAAGTATAAGGAATATGCATTACTAGTCCTCTGAATTTGAGATTAAATCATAAGTTTACACATGGCTTAATTCATGTTTTATTATTATTATTACTATTGTTATTCTACGTCTCGCGCTGATGCGTTATGGCAGCCTGAATTTATGTACTCATGTACGAAGTTCTACGTTGTGACTGACTGACTGTCTTGTCTGATTGTTTCTCTTTTCATCGATCACTTAAACATTGGTTTTGATCTTACATATTCTGAAGATGATTGTCTTGATTTCTCACTAGTTTTAACATGGTCAGTCAGTCAGTTAGCGACGACTTAGAACTTCGTACGCACGTACTTCAGTTCAAGTTGCCATACCACGGTAGCACACAGAGATGCGATTGTCGATTCAAATCCCATAGTAGTTAGTAGTTGTAGTAGAGGTGGTAGAAGTATGAGCAGTAATCGGAAAGATCCATGTTTGAAGATGTCAATCAAGGAGTATAATCCAGTGAAATAAATTTAAAAAGAGAAGAGTA